GGGGGGGATGTTGAATATACTAGAGCTCGTGGGGAGCGGGGTGGGGGCTCAGATTATTTATGTTGTTGTTGTTGTTTTCTAATCCCTTTAGCTGTGAGCATTTCGCTCTTGGTAGCACAATGCCTCCCTCAAGTAACTACATGTCCTTGTCATCAGGTCAACTCCAGAGTAGAGCAGGCTTTGTAAGTCTGTAGGTGTGTGTAGGAGCCTGTGTCAATGAACTGCCAGGTTTAGGCAGTGAAGGAGAAGATGTTCAACAGTCTCCTCGTGGTTGTCACAGTGTCTGCAATGGGGTTCCCGCATGGGGTTAATTCTGTTTATGTGCTTGTTTGTGTGTAAGTGTCCTGTGCGGAGATTATTCATATAAATGGGGGCACTGCTGCGAGCTGCAGTTGTTTTTTTTTAGCCTCTTTGGTCTCCACATAAGAACCAGGTCTCTTGAAGATTAAAAAAGAAGGGATTCAGAAATGCTACTCTACTTGTGGAAGTTCCTGACTCCTTGTTCTTTTTCACTACATGAGTGGAAGAGAAACCTGGACCAATGGAAATCACTGCGATTGACCAACTCTCTTTGGCAGGGCTCACATGTGTCCTTAGACTACCTATTTTAGTATCAGTACAGTGCACAGATTTTGCCGCTGGCTTTTTCGCAGTATGGTCTACCCTTATCTCTAAGATGCCAAAATTTCTAGAAAAAAGCCAGTCTCAAAAGGTGGGTGGTTGGCAGGTGTTCTGGTGTGGTTTGCTTCTTCTTTCCTATCAAGCATCTATCATCTTTATCTCCCCTCCTTCTTTTTAGTGTTTGTTACTCTCTTGTAACACCTCTAATCTTCGGCACTTATATGACCTCATTGTGTTGCAAGTGCTGTGAAACATTTACTGAAACTAAACTCTCAAAAGTATCAGCCAGCCAAGTCTTCTAGGTCTTGGAATCTACATGACATAGACTGACGAGTCCCGTGTAGGGAGAAAGATTTTAGCAACCTCCTAATGTCCTCCTAAATGTCTCTGAATTCTTGATACTGTCAGTCCACAAAGTGTCACAGTAATCTACGTCTTTCTCTTCCTGACTTTTTTCCTATTTCCCCTTCCTATATTGTGTCTCTAGGTTTGTCCAAAGAATTGTGGTTTTGAATGTTTTTAAAATGATGAGGTACAGGGAGTTGTATGGTTTTTTTTACTCATATGAAGACAAAAGCCGTTGGTGATAGAGCCTGATGCTTTTGATTGTAATTCTGCACTGCATGGATTTATAGATTTATTTTTTGGTGCTGGTTGTGAAGAATTAAAAGCTATTTGTTTGGGTATGAACTTTATTATTATCTATTTATCATCACTATTAACTGCTCCTTTACATCTCCTCTTTGTCACACACCACCTGCTTGCTGTCCCTCAGGTCATAGAGTTGGGAGACACGGTGTTCATGGTCCTGCGCCACCGACAACGACAAATCTCCTTCCTGCACGTGTACCACCACGCCAGCATGCTGCTGCTGTCAGACCTGTCGCGTCTGTACTACCCGTGGCCGTCCATCTCCACATTCCTGGCCATCAACTCCTTCATCCACGTCGTCCTCTACTTGTACTATGGGCTCACCGCTGTCAACCCGGACAAGTGAGTATTGTACTGTTACATCCCGTTCAAATGACCACTGTCAACCCCGACAGTAATATGTCCTGTTCAAATGACCGTTGTCAACCCCGACAGTAATATGTCCTGTTCCAATGACCGCTGTCAACCCCGACAAGTGAGTATTACAGTAGTAAGTCCTGTACCAATAACGGCTGTCATGTGAGTATTACAGTGATACATCCTCTGTTCATGAGTATTACAGTAATATGTCCCGCTCAAATGACTGCTGTCAACCCCGACAGTAATATGTCCTGTTCCAGTGACCACTGTCAACCCCGACAAGTGAATATTACAGTTTACAGTAATACGTCTTGTTCAAATGACTGTTTCTACTAGTGGTATTACAGTAATACGTCCTGTTCAAATGACAGTTGTCAACTTCTACAAGTGAGTATTACAGTAATGCGTCCTGTTCAAATGACAGCTGTCAACCCCGACAAGTGAATATTACAGTTTACAGTAATACGTCTTGTTCAAATGACTGTTTCTACTAGTGAGTATTACAGTAATACGTCCTGTTCAAATGACTGTTGTCAACTTCTACAAGTGAGTATTACAGTAATGCGTCCTGTTCAAATGACAGCTGTCAACCCGCACAAGTGAGTATTAGTATTACACTGATTCGTCCTGTTTAAATGATAGCGAGAATGTTACAAATTTGCAACAGACATAAATAATTAGTTCCAAGTTTTTCTAGATGTATCAGCTTTGTCCATCATGTTTTCCAATCCGTCCTTTATATCATTGATATCATTTATATATAATGTCTTTTTATTGCGAAGATGTATCTGCCCGCTATCTGATACAAAGTGTTCATGCTGGGGTTTTGGGGAGTCACCAGTGATATAAAATGTTTAACCAAAGAGACAAAGGAATGACAATTTCAACCTCATACAGAGAAAGAAACAGACCACGATCTTCCGCCTACAAACAGAACATATACAGCTCAACTTCCACCTGAACAGAATAAACCTGGAACTTCCCCCAATGCGTCCTTTGTGTGCCTATGCATATGAGACTGTGGATCATCACCTATTCCACTACACAGCCCTTAATGACATCAGAGCTACCCTTCTCCTTCCGAGACCTAACATTGACAACACACTCTATGGAACATTACAGCAACGGTCTTATAAGGAAAAAGCCTTTAATTAAGATCCCATATTTATATAACTGACTTGTCTTACCTGCTCATGCATTATACGCCTCCACTTTATCATGCTGAAAGCTTTTTTACTGGAGGTCAACTCTACAAAAAGTTTATTACTATTCCTTTAACTCATGTTGCAAAAATAGAAGCTGCTACCACACCAGCATGCTGCTATTCTTCTTCACTTTTTTTATATCGGTAGTAAAATTTAAGGCAAAATTTTAATCTCAATTTGAGGTGAGTCTTTAGTCATGTCTGATGGACAAATGACTTTTGAGCTAACTGCCTGTCTTAGTATTGGCTGACAGTAACTTGTTAATTTCATATCGTTGAGATTAATTATTTCCCCGAGACAGGCAGTTACTCAAACAAAGAGGAAACATGTTTGGTATCATGTGTCTTTCCTTCTTTGCGTACGTGTGTATGTGCACATGTTTGGTTTAGCCCCCCCCAAATAGCAAGCAATAAGAACTAAACAGTGATGATTTTTCTATTCTCACGGTGAGCCACGGCATTTTGAGAACCATTCATACGAGAAGAGTCACCTTTGTTTTCCATCTCTTTACTCTTAGAGTTAAATTCTTGTTGATGGCGGGGACGAAGCCGATTCACCTCCAAATTCCTTCTAATTAATTTTCAAGTGAAGATAAAGTAGCCTTTAAAGTAGTTCGACCTGGTTTAAAACAGTTAAATCTCAGCAGCACAAACACAAACATGCACACACAGCACTTCAAACATATTGCTTCCATCATGAGCTGGATTAGGCCATGTAGTTGAGAAAGTTGAATGACCCAACAGAAAACCAATGAGCGCATATAGGCTGTGTCACTGGGGGAAAGTGTGTGGCAAAATTTTACCCCATTGTCAGGGCTGGGAGAGCGTGAGCCCTCAGTACAGTGTTCTTTTTTCAAGTCTTCTTTTTACCTTTTTTACAAAAAGAGTTTCATTTTAAAAGGACGGGCGTGAGAAAGGGCTCATCCTTTGCTGAGCCCTAAAGACATTTGGTCGACTGCTGGGTTACTACAGTTGTAAGAGGTGACCAGTGATTGGACAAACGAACAAGCTGCCAAGTTGATCACTCTGTGTTCACTGCAAACGGTCATAAAATGGTTTCAACTGCTTGTTTCATTATGGAGAAACTTTCGTTTACTTTGGGACAGATAGAGTTGGGGTAGCCGGGGGTGGTGGGTGGGGAGGAGGTAGGGGCTAAAGCCCGTGAGCCCTTCACTACCCACCGTCACTGAAATTGTCCAGCACAGAGATTGTTGTTTGAGTGAAAGCGCAAAACAAACGCTATTAGAAGCCTATTATTATTCAGATTATAATAGTAAGGTTACAGTTTGGGTTAAGGTTACCCAAACCCTTCCATAATCTTCCCCTATTATCAGAATCCAGCAAATGTGAGTTTTAAAAAATGCAGATTTGTCATGATCTGGAAGATAGATCTAGATCTAGTTGGGTGATCTTATATTATACTTTAGCACATTAAATTCTTCAATTGATTTTATTCCTTTTTCCGTAACGAGCAACCACTTTAAAACAAGATCTAGATATCTAGGTCTAGATCTAGAATCTATCTAATCTAGATCTAGATCTAGATCTAGGTTATAAATACTCAAATGGCTTCCAAAATCATGATGGAAGACCGAAAACCACCGTAATACCATCTGTTCATGACAAAATTACGGTAGTTTGCGCATTGAAAGTGGCTATTCTCACCCGCCCGGAAGTTCTCGCAAGATCAACTCCTCCCCTCTTCTCTCTCTTTCTGTCTCTTTCTGAATACTGTCTATCGGTGTGGACGATCAAATTGACCAAAACAAAGTTAAAAAAAGA